CCCCCCCCCCACCCACCCCCACCCCCACCCACACCCACACCCACACCCACACCCTATACGTAGACTAGCATTGTTAAAGTATTCCACCCAATCGGTCTCGAAGTTTTTCCATAGTACATACTTATGAAGTAGGTTCCTCTTCGAAGACTTAACTCAATAGAAATTACTTTTGCAATCTTGGTGCAAAATCTAATTTCTGGCTGCGTGAGACAACACTAAGTGAGTTCGTTGTTCGTTAGTACTCTTACAATTTTTCTCACTACATATTGAAAGATTTTGAATCAGTTTCATATATTGTTTTGCTTCGAGTCTCTCAATAAGTAGTTTGTTTAGCAGAAAAGCATCGATTCAACTGCCATGCTGACCTTTTTTGTTTATCGAGTTTATTTACAGCGAAGAAATGACGAAATGACAGTAGGTACTAAAATGAAAACAAAATAATAAATTATTATAGAAGTCATTGATTGACTTGAACGAATGTTCGTAACATAGCTAATAAGTCTTTTGTGTTTCGAAACATAATGACAACTTTTTCCACGGTGATTGTCGTCTTTGCACTATTGCTACAGCAGTTACTAGTTTTAATTTGATCGCCAGTAAAAACGACTCTCATCACACCACATTCGTCATGTCTTGTTGTATAAATTACAACGGTTTCCGTTGTATTTATTGTTGAATGTTCTTCCTCCATTTCACTTTTCAAAAGAGACGTTAATATATTTTTTATTGCTGTCATATTTATACGTCCACCCGCATATAAAGCACAGAATTGAACAATATCATCTACATATTTATGAAGATCACCGGTTCCTGATATTGTTCTTTCAAAAGTACGGTTACTAATATCGAAATAGTTGGTTAAATCACTGCCTTTTAATTTTTCGATTTGAGCACCAAGTGACTTAAGCAAAACATACGCTTCTGAGTCAGACAATTGTGCATCTGCTATGTCGACTGTGTAATCGTCATCAATCTTAAGTATGTATTTCAATATAAGATATGCTAACGGTTTAACTATAATTCTTATAGCCAGTGGTAAATTCCCAATAACTGCCATCGCATTTGCTTTTATTTGATCATTATGATATTCATTCGATCGGGAATTAAACTCTAAGCTTTCGATCGCACGTGATGTTGATTCGTAGTTCGAAGCCATGATTAGCAGTCAAATCGGTTATCGTTGCCTAAGAAAATCTATAAATAGCCAAATAGAAACATTTTCCCTAGTTAAGATCAAAAATATTAGGTTCTTTTGAGTGCATCCCTTGATGTCATACTGCAGACACTTTTCGTAAGAATTTTACAGCTATATTTAAAATAACGTAAAGCGGGAAGAATCCATACATTAAATCTATCATGAAAAGAAGAAAAACATCGTAGATAACTAAAACAATGGAAATATATAATATTGAATAAGAAAAAAAACTGTAAGTGCTTACATTATTTTACCGTAGATAGCGGGAGAAACTTTTTTAATTACATTTAAATATGCGGATTACAATGTTTAATTTTCTAAATAAACTGGAATTTTTGGAATATTTAAACTATTACTTGCGTAGACACTAAGAAAACTACATAATCGTCTCACAACTAAATCCTTTATTATTGATATGTGGACAAAACGTACAAAATATATCGCTAGAATGAAAAGTTTCCTTGAATAAAGAGAATATTTTCAAGAATATCTTTCGTTGTCACAAAGCAAAGACAGATGGTTTCTCTTTTTAAGAGCTATGTTCAAAAAAATCAAAGAAAAAAGACAATATACTCACTTCACACATGTATCTACAAAAAACTATTTTCGAGAGATGAGGATAAGAAATCAGGGTCTTCTATTAACCTTTATCTGCATCTGCACTTATTTTCTGACTGTTGACCGATTTCCATTACTCATACTCTTTTTTTCTTGCATGATGATCGCCATTTGACTTTTCTCGGTGCTCTCTTGACTATGAATGGTTCCGGTTGCATATATGAGAAAAGAACAAAAAGAAAGAAAAAGATCAAATAAGAACGACGAGCGAAGCCTATTATGAGTAGCTATCGCGGAATGACAGCATGTGAGTCATATATTTGTAAAATATCTCTCTGCCTACTAAAGAATGTATAATCACAAACTCACTGGTGTCATCAAGAAAAAGGAGTCAACAGAAACCTATCAAGATAAAAAGAACGACAAAAAAACAGAACTAATAAAAGTACAGACGAACGAGAAAAAACGCTAGTTGGTAGTTCTGCACAAAAGGAAAGGAAGAGAAAAGAACAGAAATACAAAAAAAGTATTTAGAAGCTTATGGACTAAAAAAGCGTCGCATGAATCTAACAAGAAACAGAGTGATCTCTATTTCTCGAATACTAATCAATAAATGACATAAAATGTTTTTCTTCCTTCTTTTCATTCTATACTAAGTCAATAAAGATGTAAATTGGTAACTTTATCGTTAACTAATAAAATGAATAATACAAGGGAAAATTTTCATTCATTTAGAAAAAAAAACCAAAATTCCCTGGGTAAAAGAATCGAAAATTTATTATTTAGAAGAACAGTATGTACTCTAAAGAAGGAACATTCCCAACTATCACATTGCTTTTTTTTTAACATAACAATTTTATTGATCACGTTGGGGTTACCAATTATCAAATATAACAAGAAAAGAATGTAAACTTCATCACATGAAATGTAAAAAAATATTCTTCGATTCCTTTTTATGTGATGTATCTCTCCTCCTAGGACGTAACGATATAGTACAAAAAACGGTGTTCAGTTCCTTAAGATTATAGATGAGAACAAAAAAAAGAAACAAAAGAAAAAAGGAAAAAAAAGAATAAGAGAGAATTTACCAATAGGAGATAATGGATTATGTTTTTGGAACAAAGAACCTCGTATTTCACAAATTCTCGGAATTGCAATAGAATTTTAAGGTGGATATATATATTTATGAATGAATCTTTCAATATTTAAGGATGATCTTTTAAAATAATTTCTTTGGCTCTGATGTATACAGAAGAATGAAAAAACATCTAGATTTGTATGATGTACCCTTTGTATATAACAATTTATAAAAAAATTATTTTTTCTTAATTCCATAGATTTATAGACACTTCGATCAGGTGATGTAGATATAAGAAATGCCTCCCATATTTCTCTGTACCCACTTGCTTCCGGAGTAGGGGTGGCACTTTATCTTTACTTTATCAAGTAAAGTAAAGCTGGGTTACTTTACTTTACGGGGTAAAGTAAAGTTGATCTACTTTACGGGGTAAAGTAAAGTTGATCTACTTTACGGGGTAAAGTAAAATAAGTTACTTTACTTTATCAAGTAAAGTAAAGTTGATCTACTTTACTTTATCAAGTAAAGTAAAGTAGATTTACTTTACCCGAAAAGTAAAGTAAAGTAAAGTAAAGTAAAGTAAAGTAAAGTAAAGTAAAGTGAAGTATCTCAA